GAGTTAAATTTATCCCAAACGTGGTGAAAGTTTAGTGATTGGAGATTATTTTTAAAGTGTAATATTTCCATCCTTCTAATGTTTTCAAGAACTGGCCATACAAGCAGAAAATGATCAATGTCTTCAATGGAATTATCATTGCACACCTTACAAAATCCAGTGTCACTCTGATCATTAGACCATTTTTTTAGTTCGCTGTTGGAGAGGGAGGGTATTTGAACGGAGCTTAAATTTTATTGATGCTCCTTCAAAATCAGTACCGTCAAGAAGGTACTCTTCCATACTTCGTGACGTTTGATTAATTAATATTTGCGTTTGGAGGGTTTGCTAAACAAGGTATAAAAAGTCTCATCTAACGAAAATAATGAGGTGGCACTCTGAGACTAACTTTGACGATATGTAATTTATTCAGCACAAGCTTTCCATGGCAGTCGATGGCAGCTTCAACAGGCGTATGTATGCTGTACACACGTGATGAAGCTGGAATATTAACTACCATAAAAACTCATTCTGAATAAATTACATCTTGAACGTTAATCTCCAAGTCATGTGCTGCCCCATTATTATTACCTGTTATGTACAACTGATATATTACATTATAATTATTAAAGATATTAAATCATAATTAATTACTACTGATACATGATTACAACAAAAGTGTCATACTGCACAGCATAAATATTAAAATAGATTAACACATAAACATATCTAAAAGTCAATATTAATATATAATTATAACAAAATACAATATATCAATTTAATCAAGGAAGAAACCATAAAACTAAGATAAATATTACCGTACCTGAGAATCTTCTATTTCTGCTGTGTATTCAGACTCTGGAAAGAATGTGTAAAAACTTGTTCTTTTTCCAACATCATCTGCAAAACGACCCTTTGTGAGTGCTCTGTTTACTCTACACATTTAAAAAAAGATTTTCAGAATTAATCAATTGAAAATCTGGATAATATGATGATAAATTCACATTTAAACTTTTTCACAAGTGTAAAAACAGTACGCTAGTGAGGAGGTGATAGACAAATTTGTACGCTTTTACATATGCATTAAAATTTTGATTCAAAATAACATTTAAAATAATAGATTTTTATGACCAATACAAACATGGATATATATATACAACTACTGTAGTACTTTAGTTGACTTCACAAAAATGTTTTTGCAAAAATCAACATATTTTCAAAGGGGAGGTAGGGGGTACCAAAAAAGAGTACTGTTTGTACACTTGCGAAAATTTTGATAAATGTGAACGACCCCTTAACAAACACAGTTATTCATACAAGATTGCCGACATTGCATCTTGACGATCCATCCTAAATTTTTGTTTAAAAATAGGGAGATTAAAAAGTTACATTTAAATTTACGTCTGACACTACGATTTCTGGCCAACTAAAAGTGGCTAAGTCCAACCATGGTGAAGCTGAGGTTGTGTGGACCCATCCATCTGCAAAATTGCATTCTGGGACCCACTCTATTTCATATGTTATATGGATCCACCACTGTTTCTTAACTGAGATTCAAACCTAAGACCCCAAAAATTTGTGAGATCGCTCTACCAATTACGTTATGAACACCAGGTGCTATAATCCATAATGTTGCCACTATATTAATTGAAAGTTAGCTAAACAATTTATTTAAATGTATTTACTACTACTGGCAAAAGGTTATGGGCAATGTGAGTTCGGGTTCCCGGATTGACGTGGTCTTCAATACGCGCAGAGATTGACAGGCGTAGAAAACTATGTGGCCTCAGTCGACAGAAAATATCATATTTTAGGCAGTATCTGTTGGTTAGCTTCTACCCTGTCTCTCAGTGGCAGTAGCTATTGGTTAGCATCACTGTGTTTTCTCAAGTGGCAGACATTAAGGTGACAGTTCTGGCTGGTAAGCATTTACTCAGATTTGATAACAGTTTAACAAGCACATGAGCTTGCTTTGGTGTAAAAATAAACTGAGGTTAAATGTAAATTTACATAGTACAGTAACACTGACAGATAATGTTATAATAGAATATGACTAGAAATTGCAAATTGCAAGTGAAGTGCTGCGAAGTACAACTGCATAAAATGTTCTTCGAACAAAATTATTTATGCGAGTCAAGTGAAAATAATGAATAATAAAAATATAACAAATAATATGAGCACGACCCATTGTCTATATTAGAACAGCGCAGCGTTGGTACAATAGTGTTTTGCTGCAGTGACATCTCTCTGCTGGCGATGGCTCGCTGCTGCTGGCGATGACTCGCTGCTGGCGAATCGATCTGCGCATGTGTATAAAATGGTATTTATTTCCACACACACTATGCCAGTCTACAACAAGCGTCGCCTAAATGTAATAATTAGCACGTTGAAATAGGCTAGTAAATAAGTTTAACTGGGTTCGTAAATAATATTGTCCTCAAAA